ATAACAAAGTTCCTTGCTTTACTTGTTTTATGTTTGTGTTGTCCTAATTGTGACGTTTTTCTTTACAGGTAAAAGTGCTTATAAAATAGGTTACCAAAATTCTGATTTTTAACTGTCATTCCCTTACGTGTAATGGCTAATCACTTGACATTGGCGGAGTTGTGCTAAGTCACAACGCAAGCCATCATAAAAGAAGAAGAAGAAGAAGCAGTTTTCCTTTTGTATTTTTTATTGTTTGGATTAGTTTAATTTTAATTACAGTTTGTAATAAATTAAGATGAAACTACGCAGTAAGGTATAAAAATGAGTAAAGTAAATCGGAGTGGCACGCGGGAAGTGATTTTTAAAGTTTTCCAGCGATGTTTCGAAGACTACCAAGCTGGACGAATTTTGTGGGATTTGGATGATGTTTATGGGCGAACAGCATCTATGACGGGTATGTAATCGTGTAACTATTTGTTTGTAATCTGCCTGAAGTTACAAATTTATTCAATTTACGATTTTGAGACCAAAAAAGGTATTGTTTACATTGCACATTTTTAGGTTAGATTAATATTGTAAATAGGTAATATTGTAGTACGACCATTTCTTTTGATACGTTATTATGGTTCAACTCGGTCAGGTTTTCAACCAATTTTGAATTAATTGCTTCATGTCAATAAGTTATTATTTCTATTCCGTTACTAATTTTTTAACTTTTTTCAGGAAAATCAGAGAGTCGGATAGTCAACGAAGGTTCTAAGAATGATGGAAAGTTTGAAACTCCTGGGAAAACAGGCAAGGCCGACCAAAGAAAGAAATGGTCACATAATGAAACATGGCCAGATGCTTATAGTGAAGATACATATCCTATCACTAATTTTTTTAACTGCACATTTACAAATTGTTTCTCTAAATAAACTTTTTATATACTATAAAATGATTTTTAGTATTATTTTCTTAACAAGTATGTTTTAAAAAACGTTGTATGATGATACTTGTGTGTATTGATGATTACCTAACGGCTCTGGTCTCAATGGCACCTCAGCGGTAATTACCAACATTACACACTTTTACACTATAAAGTACTATTTTATCTATAATAATTTTATTCTGATTCAATTAAATATGCTTGGCTAAACTTTTTATAAGCATAGGTACCTACTATATATAAAACAGAAACAAAATACGACTGTATAGTGTGTCTTATTAATTACCTATTTTACTTGAATGAACTGCTAGTATCAAAATCATTTTGGTCAGACTGTACAGGATTGCTACATGCATACTAGTGGCGCCATCATTTAATGTCACGACTTTATAGATAAACTGTTGTTATTTTTTTTAATTTTCGATACAGAAAATAAAGACTCCTGCTCAAATATATTATGATAACGACAGACAACTGCGGAACCCTACCCTGCGTGTGGTATGACACGCTCTTGGCCGGTATTTATATTATAGTAATTAATATCACATATAGTTAGTAAGTTATTGAGAATCGGAAATGGCGCCTTTACATAGTACTGCCCCAAGGCTTTTCAGCCCCAAAATTTATATTCAATTGAAAAATTCAATTTTCAAAAAAAAAATTCAATATCGTTTATTCAGTCTAGGCTGTTACAAGCACTTGTGAATGTCGAAAAGCTACGCCATCGGTTCGCAAATCTACGGCGGGAGAGAAGAACCGGCAAGAAACTCAGCAAGGGCTGTTTTTTTCTCCCTGTATTATATACAGAGTCGTCAAATTGAAAAATGACTTCAATATGAGGTAACTCATAAAGTCACTTTTCATAACAAACAAAAAAAATGCAAATAATATAAAAATTATGACTATAAAATAAAAATTAAAATTGTAAAAAAAAAATGTGGTTTAACAAAGTTTAGGAATGACGTGTCCTACCGTTTAGGCTAAAAATAATAATAATAATAGTGAACGATTAAAGTTTAGAACAACGATTAATAGTACCCAGTGAATTAAGAGCAGACTCATCTCCGCTGGCAGCACCCGTTCACGAGCATGACGCATGAACCAGCCATCGCTTCGCTCAACCATTTTTTAGGGAACGCAACGACCCGCCTCACACGACACCACCGAAGAGATTTTTAAGAGAGCATGACTACTCATAACCACACATGGATACTATGTTACAAAAATAGAAAAAAAATATATATATATAGGTACCAGTGTACATTATTATAACAAACTATAAACACAACGGCAGGACACATGCATGTGATTACCTAAACACTGTTGTCAACTCTGGCAATACTCTCCCAACCCAAAACCAAATCCAACATCAGTCCCCCCCTTTCAGTCTGTATAGAGAATGACAAGGATACACCGCTGCAAAACCAAGTTCAGGTCTAGAAAAACATACCAGAATCCACACCGCCATTAAATCTTTATCAGAGAAATAATAAATGTTCACTTACATTTTGATTGCTGTGTCATACAGTATAAATACAAGTTGTGTAATGTAAAATACAATCTAAATTTAATAATAATTATCATTACAATAATAAAGTAGTATAGAGCAGACTCATCTCCGCTGGCAGCACCCGTTCACGAGCATGACGCATGAACCAGCCATCGCTTCGCTCAACCATATTTTAGGGAAAGCAACGACCCGCCTCACACGACACCGCCGAAGAGATTTTTAAGAGAGCATGACTACCCATAACCGCTAAATGGATATCTTTATAAACACATGTAATTTTGTGACGATATATCGATATTTTATAAAAGTGATTGTTGCCATTGAGATTTTTGTAATATTAGTGGAATATAGAACAATACATAATATGATGCTGTAAATACGAAAATTTGTGTGAGTTGATTACCTGCTGCTGCTATTATTATTGCCTTATTTATTTTCTTTTAAGCTTTTTAAGTGCCCCGAAAATTGTACGTGTGCTTTAGATAATCCAAGTATTTTCTAGTATTTATCAAGTTTTATAGAAAACCTTTATAGAAAGACCCCGTGTCACCTTGATGCGACCTCAGTTGAACCCAGTGCAGCTGCTATAACAGCTGAGTGTAATAAAAGGCGCAATTACCGGGAATAGGCTAGTTGACTCATGTCGAATTGTATTAAATAAATGTTTATTTCTTAAAGTATTTCGTCTAAGGAACCTAAATATATCGATTTCACTTCATAAAAGCAGAAGATTGCTGTAGAAATTTAATTTAAAAAAATAATTTTTAGTCTATATTTTCTAAACACTAAAAACGCTATTCGCCACATCCGCCATGATTGTGACGTCTCTTATGGTAAACAACTAAATGTCATTCGCGTCTTACTGTGGGTGGATTCTTTCGTCTGACTAAATTTATCTTAACTTTTAACTTTAGAAAAGTTTCCGTTTACTGTTTTTTTTTTGAAAAAACTAATTATGGATGCCGGCTTTGTGAAAACAGAAAGCACAAATCTGCCAAGAATTGACGCATTCATGGTTGGTGAATTTATTGCACTAAACTCCGATTTCTGCTCTGCGGAGCAGAGAAACGACAAGGCATCTATGTAAGTACAGTGTATTTAGTATTACAATGGTGGCGATTCTAGCATGATTCTATAAAGCTAAACTTAAATTTGACAACAGTGTATCTCTGTCATTCTATATACAGACTGAAAAGGACAGACTGATGTCAAATTTAGTTTTAAGCTTAGAGAATCCTGCCAGAATCAACACCAATGTAGTAATAAACATAAAACTGATACAACATATGAATAAGTGTAATAAAGTTGCGTAGGTTAATTTCTTTCGGCACTTTTAATCCAAAACTTTCCTGGAGTCTTCAAGGATGTGTTTTTATATTCTCGTTGTTGAGGAAGTGGATCGTAGAAAGGAAAGACAATCAGTTCGTAATATTTAGTTTATGTAGTCCCAATCACATTTTACATTTTTATAGGTATACACCGTTGACGTATTTGCAAAGTCCTAGAATGAAGTAACGGTGACATAGAGAACAGGCCATCGAGTCGCGCTAACAATAAGGTTTTACATAAAATCATAACTTCAACACTCGTACAATACAATAATGATAATTACTTTATTTTTCGGGGTATTTATTAGAAATCATCTTTTGATTATTATAAAGTCAGTTAAGTTATTTTCTACGTGCTTACGAGTTTTTGTTTATTTACCTTTCCTATGTGTTTACTGCAGTTAACGTCATAGCATAGATAATCTATAGACTAAAATGGCCGACAGCGTTTTTGTATATCCATGAAAAATCTATTTGTAGCTTTTTAGGTCTCAAAAAAATACAATACATTTTTTTTCGGTCTAATAGAACATTTATTAACCATTTAAAACCTTTTCCCAAAAAGGGTCAACTAGCCTATTGGGTGAGATATATTTTTACCTACCTTTTGCTGTAGAGATAATGGGTCCTTGGGGCCCTGCTGCAAAAGTATTTCTTAAGGATATGACTGCTCGCCTGTGCGAGGCTACGGGGGACCCAAGATCTGGTAGCTTTTTTGCTCAAAGAATTAGTTTGGCGATACAGCGAGGCAACGCTGCCAGTCTTCTGGGGACCGTGCCCCGCAGGCGAACTCAATGAAATATTTAATTTGTAATTATTGTTCTACCTTTTGTTGACATTAGAAATAAATGAAAAACATATATAATATAAATATTAACAAATTTTAACATAGAAAAAATGGTGTCGATGCTAGCGTGATACTCTAAACCTTAAATTGTATCTGATAACAGTTTATCCTTATCATTCTCTATACAGAATGGTCCCTTAAAATTGGGTAGTCTAATAGGCGCATGATTCGACTGACGTGACGGACGCGCTGTCACAACTGTCACTGTCAGTCAAGCAAGTTAGCAATTTAGCATTTTCATTGGCATTTTCTCTTTCCATTTTATTGATTGACCTTTCTAGGTGCCGTTTTAATACAAATAATGTACACATAAACGTTATTATTATATTATTTTTTACAGTATTCTTTAAGTTAAAAGAATAATATATTTTTTATTTCTCGTATTTAAACTCTAACCTATAACAAATGGAAGCAAGTGAGTTTACTTCACAAAACACAAGCATTTTTACCGAGAAAGAAGTGTTAGAGATGCTTTCATCGAGCCTAGAACCTACTAAATCTCATACATTTGAAACTTACGAAGTTCCCGAAGATGTACAATGCCAAAAAGAGGATACCCAAAACTTGTCCACCAAGAATGCTGTGAAGTTTCTCCTTGATGGCACATTGAAGAAGAAGGTCTGCAGATACTGTTTGAACGTGACGACATCACTTTCTGAATTAGACCAGGTATTGCAGGTGGCAGGACATGGAGCATTATACAAAGTAACAATCAGGGACATGATAGCAAGTTTTCATCCATTTAAGGTAAGGTGTAGAGATGTGTGGGCTAAACAGTTCTTCCAGGGCGCAATTGGTGATACTTCACACTAGGTTAGTGTTGTGACCATAACGCGTGAGCCGAGCCAGCTAAGCTAGTGTGCCAAGGCAGCGGCCGGCAAAGCACCAGAAAAAAAAAATTAAGAGACCTTTTCTACAATAAATTTTCGAGTATCAATCACCTCTTGGCTCCTGGAAGTACAGTTTTACCGATGTATGTAGTAGTCAAAGCTTTGATATGTATTTGAGACCTTATTTTCCAACCTACCAGCTTTTAATATGCTTCTTTTTAGATGTAGTGTATTACTGTAAATTTTTTAGCTCACATAAGAAGTGAAGAATCAATTGAATTTGATAATGACTATTCCATAATTTTGAATGGTAGTAATATCCAAATGCTCAATAAATGTATTTTGATAGTAGCTGAACCAAGTAAATAAAATCATTATTCAGATGACTTCTAAATAAATAATTAATAGCATAAATTAAGAATCAAGTTTATTTTGTAGTAAATATGTATAACAAAGAAAATTCATTCAGCTGCTCTTGTTTAAAATAATTATGATCAGTAGTTAGCACTTACATCTAAGTGTATACACACATCAAAAAAAGTTTGCGATCACTTTGAAAAATAGATTGTTTTTTGTGTTACAGAAGACTTTCTTGTATTTTTTTTTCTGATAAGAAACTAAATTTTATAATTAGAATTAGAATATAAAACAATAAAATAATAGAATTGTTTTTCCATATATAAAGACATGCAATCCAAGCTGACACTCATTCAGAAATCTCATTTAGTCAATATTATCAATTTAAAATATTTTAAGAAAAGTTTACTAGAAAAAAATCCACGCGGACCAGGCAGCGGACGGGACCTGGTCTGCGTGGATTTTTTTTCTAGTAAACTTTTCTTTAGATTTAAACATCTAGCAGTTAAATGCTTAAAAAATAAATAAAATCATAATTAAAATATTTTTTCTCGCAAAGTTGTGATTTTTAAAACGCCATGAGGATTATCAGATATTTTACGAGCCAGAATTCTAATTTTGAGGGAAGAAGGCTATTCTACGAAAGAAATAGCACGCAGAGTTGCCCAATCCTGTGTAGTAACCACGTTGCAGAGTTAATTTAGTTGACCAACCCCGCAGCAGTCGCCCAACTGTTTTGACAGCTCAGAAGCGCTACATCACGTTGATGGTAGCCTGTGACCTAACTATACTCTATAATATGAACAAACAAGTTAAATTTTGAAAATATATCGGATTTTGCAAGTGATATCAAACTTTTTTTGTTGTGTGTATAGTGCATATCTTTGTGGTTGTAAAGAGATTGTAATTACACTCAATTAAGCATTAATAAGCTAAAGTTAAAAAGGTGTTAATACAACTGTTGATGTATTTATTAAATAAAATAAAATAATGTCATTTCAGGTTGCTGAAGACCCCAATTTTCCTAGTAAAATTTGTGATAGATGCGTGGATCGTACACTGAGTTCATATTTATTTGCTCAGCAATGCGAGAGATCAGAGCGGGCTCTACGAAACTGCTTCGATGACATGTATGAGAAGCTAGAGAAACTGGATCCATTAGAGAAGCAGAAGAAAAGAGGGAGACAAAAGTTAAATCCGAATCATAACACATTATTCGCAGAACACGAGAATGTCATTGATTATGCTGAACCACTCATCACTATTGTGAACACAGCTTCAGAATTGATAACAAACACTGAAAATATAAATAGAAATAATGACACTTTTATGTGTTCCAAATGCTGTCAAAATTTACCCAGTCTTGAATCTTTGTTAAATCATGAGAAATCTCATCCATCAAGTATGTGGTATCATTGTCATTTGTGTGGTAAATCGTTTGCCAAACGAATCTATTTGAGGAGACATATTCAATCTGCGCATGCAACGGGCAAGCAGATTACTATGCAGAAAACTGACTTCAAATGTCAAGAATGTCATTTTGTTAGTTTTGATTACCACACACACTTGCAACATATAGAGAAGCACAAGTTCAAAGAGCTTTTGCAGAATTTGGTAACGAGGAAAATGGATAAGCTTTGTGCTGTTTGTTTGAACAAAGGTATGAAATTAGTTGATATGGAGAAAATGGTGTGTCTACATGGAGGTTATCCGGAGATGATGGGTGATCGAACTCTTTACAGTATATTAGGATCTACAGTTCCAGAAGTAAGTATATTATTATTGTTTTATGTGTAACTAGCTTGTGAACGCCATTTCATTCATGTTCAAGTTTGTGTTAAAGTTTTGACGACCTCCGTGGCCGAGTGGTTTGTACGCCGGGTTTCATGGTGTCGCCGACTCGAGAGATCCCGGGTTCGAGTCCCGGTGAGGGCAGATGTTTATGTGATGAATTCGAGCATTTGTACTCCAGTCATGGATGTTTAATATGTTTTTCTATATAAATATACTTATATATGTACCGTATATGTATTCTATCTGTTACCCTAGCATCCCACAACACAAGCCTTACTTACAGTGCTTACTTTGGGGCTAGGCTAATTGGTGTGTGTTGGAAATATTTATTTATTTATTATTTATTTAAAGTTTATGTTTTGCGCCTCCCACAGGAATATAAACTTTTTCCAGGGTTGAAAGTGTCACCTGTGTCGATCTAGGTGATAAATTGTTATGCCAAATTTCATTCAAACCTGTTTTAGTGTGAAAGATTAACAAACATACATTATATAAAACAATTTTTCCAATGGTTTTAAAATGCTTTTTTAATACTCATTGTGCGTCTTTTGTAATGTGTGCAAACTTAAAAATATTTCACATTTGTAATTAGTAGAATATTTTATGAGTTCAAACCCTGTAAACAATCAAATTTGTTTGACAAATTTGCTTTATGATGTTTAAGTCTAAAGAAAATTCCATGCGTCCCGATGCTGCTGCGTCCGCTTATATTTTTTTCTAGTTGAATTCGTCAAACATAGCTACAAAAAAAAATTACAAACAAAAACAAGTTTGATTGTTTACAGAGCCCTGACATCTTCTAACTAGAGAGTTGTCAATCTGGAATGAATTCATCATAATTTATAAATGTTTGGCATACTTTTTTGTGTGTTACTATGTCTTTCCTCCCTTCACGAATGGGTCCTATAAATTCTCACATTTTTGTAACACACCAAACTAATGCATGATAAAGAATTAAGATGTCTTCATTTGTAGCTCACATTTTGAGTCAACTCAGATTTTAGTTCAACTAACATAATTCACAGAAAGTTTGTACAAATTGACAATTATTATGAAGCTGAAACTGGCAGACTTGTGGCTGAAATCTAACAGCATCCTGCCGTCATAGAACTGGTGGTTAACGTTTTTCTGGCAACTATTTTGGTTTTTCTTAATTATTTCACAGTAAAGGAATTTCAAAGTTTTTTTCACAAGGGTACCTCAAAGACGATTTAAGCGATTTTCACTTTTTTTTTTCGCAAATTTCTCCCTACCTATATTTGTAAATAGTTTATAGTACTCTTCAGATCCGATTAGAAACAGACTTTCTGATTATTTCTTGTTAACTTCACCAGATATTTTTTTCTCCAAATGTATAACATTACTAATCTTTTCTAGAAAACATCATATAAATATCAGGAATTGCTTATACCATCACAAGCCAAAATATTAAGCATTGTCAAAACCAATGACAAAATGAAATCATCATCATCAAACTTCATGATTTCACTTCCATATGTGATATCTACAGATTGTGTATGCACTGATAATTTACAGCAGTTTAGTTTTTCACTACCTTATGTTGATGATATAGAACTGTCCAGCTTAGAGATTGCTAATCAAGATAATGTTGAGGATAAGCCTTTGAATGTTGATACTAAAGTTGATATTTATGATCACATTGAAAATAATATAAATAGCGACGAAGCTCTGACGAAGACTCATAACTTTCCTGAACATATTGAAACGGATTTTAAAGAGGATACTCAAAAGAAAGAGGTTACTGTTTTTAAAAATCTTGAAAAAATCTGTAACTGTTGTAACACATGTTGGATATTTAAAAAAGCCTCATGTGCGAGATGCTTAGAATTAATGAGTGGCGAAGCAGAACACACAGATTTTCCTAATAAGAAAGACGAGGCCGAACCAAGTAATCAGAAATGTTCATCATGTTGGTTATTCAAGAATTGTAAAGAATGTGGTTCTTGTAAGAATCAAAACATTAATGAAAAATCATCCAATATTACTGAAACTAATACAGAGGTTAATCTACTAGACTCCAACATTAATGAACAGGGTAACAATATGAATGAAAAATCATCCAATAATAAAGAAAATTGTATAAAAGTCAGTTTACAAAACGACATTAATGAACAGGAAAATATCATTGATGAAAAATCGTCCAATAATATTGCAACTAAACCAAAAGTTAGTCTCCAAGATTCCGATATTAATGAACAGGATACAATCATGAATGAAACATCATTCAATGCTACTGAAACACTTTCAGAAGTTGGTCTAACAAATAACGTAATTAATGAAAATAGTGATTTGCAGAATACTAATGATTCACCTAATAATAATAAACATGAATTTGAAGATGTTGTCAAGAGTGCTGGAGATTCTTTCCAAATGAAAAAGAATACAGGAGAACCATCAACTATCCTACATCACAACGAAACAAAATCAAGAAAAAGGAAGATTACACATGAAGCAAATAACAGTAATGCTGAAGCAAAAAAATTAAAATGGCACTGTGAAATTTGTTTGACTACTAACACAAATAGAGAATTATGCTTTTGCTGTGATTCACCAAGAGCATTAAATAAAATCAAAGTTAAATTAAACAACGATTTCTTGGATGATTTCAATAATAATGATAGTAAAACTAAGGAAGACAAAGATAATTTTTTTCCGACCTTGGCTGACTCTGAATTAAACAGAAAAAATGCTGACAGACACACAACGAGAGAAGAAATTGCTTCAGTTAATGTTGTAGATCATAAATCACTTAATATTGACAACATGGAAGTTGATAATACAGCAATAGCGACAACTGCTAATAGTGCAAATTATAATTCAGATAATGCTAATGAAGGTGATAATTTTGCAGTTATTGATAAACATTCAAACTGCGGTTTAGTTGAACATCATACTGATGTCCCTTCTGATAATTCCTTTCCGTTGGAGGAAATGGAAATTGTCGACGACACACCTAGGGAAGTACAAAACATTACTGTGGAAGAGAGACCTGACAGATGTTGTAGCTTCCCACAATTTCAGTTCAACATTGGAACTCAAAGTTTCACAGCTAAGAAACCCGACAGAAAATTGAAAAGGCCTTTTAGGAAGAGTGTTGGTACAAAATAGTGAATCAGTTTTTTTAAATTGTTAAGTGCATGCTTTTCTTGAAACTATTTGATAAAGAAAATATCAAAATTATAATTGTGATAATTTGATCACAATATTCTTGAATTTTGTATGTTAAATCTGAACTCTACTTAAAATAAAAGAAATTAACAAATCTGATAGATAAAACTAGTTTTTAAAGGGTTAATGCACGAAACTTTATTTATTTCTGACGAAGCAGACCTGAAAAGGCTGCGAAACGTCGATAAATAAATAAAGTTTCGTGCATTAACCTTTTAAAAACTAGTTTTATTTAATGAGTGATGTGCGTAAAAACCTAAGAAACAAAACTGTTAGATACTTAATGCATTATTGATGAACAACCATGATATTTAAATCTAAAGCAAATCTTACTAGTAAGAAATCAGTTTCAGACGGGATTCAAAGCCGCAGCTTCCGCAAGCCAGGCTGACGCAATAACCAATTATTATGCTACCGAAACAGTGCAAAGCTATTTAATACCAAACGATAATTATGACTTTTATGTGCTAAATTATATTTCTAATTGTTGTGTCGTACAATTTATAGCAATGAGAGGTTAAGATCTTAAAAAAGAAATCATGTAATAATATCTCGTTACTTTTAAGGTTATATGTGTGTATTTTATGTATAGTAAAGATATAGAATCTGCTTTTTATTTATTATTTCAAGATTTTAATTTTTTGTTGCAGATGAGTATGCTTCATAACTACACCAGTACCAAAATATGTGAAAAGTGCCTTAACCACGCGATCATAGCGTACGTTTTCATTCAACAAACGCTTTATGTTCGAAATAGATTAAACACATGTATTAATAGTATGTTAGAAAATCTTAATAAGCTAGATAGCCCAAAAGGTAATTTGCTCGTGGAAGTATCTCAGCATCTTATATTGCCTCTTAAAGAGGAACATATAGATGAAGATTTCCTTGGTGATAATTTAGATGACATTGATGAATCCAAACTGAAAGTGGACGTTTTAGAGGATGAGTTTCGTGTGGAATCGGATAGCGATCAAAGTGAAGAAAGCGTAGAACTCAAAAATGTCAAATTAGAGATTAAAACTTATGGGAAACGTGCAAAAAAAGTTAATAATATCGAAGTTGGTAACAGTGATAAGAGCACAAAAAATATAAATGGCATCTGTACCATAAATGATACTGGATGCAAAACTATCAACGACATTTGCAGCGAATTTCTGACATTCAAAAAGAAGAAAAAACCCGTAAAACATTTATCAGTATATAAATTTACGTGTCCGCTGTGCAATAAACATTTCATTACCGACTATTTCCTTAGAAGACACGTTTCAAAGCACGTCTTAAGAAGATGTAATTGCAGAGTTTGTGGATTGGAATTTAGCTCAAAGTTTTATCTGCACGAGCACATGAAAATTAGGCATGTGTTACAATGCAATACAAACCTTTCTTGTCAATCTTGTGGTAGGACTTTTCTCGATGCCTTCGCTTTGTGGAAACACAAGAAATGCCATCAAGCGAAAAAATGCCAATTGTGCGAAAAAACATTCAAGTCACAGAAATATTACGATGGTCACATGCAACGCCACGTAAACCAACTGAAGTTTCTGCGACAGAGGGGCGTTCAGAACTGCAGTTTTTGCGAGAAAGAATGCTCTAGCGACAATGATCTCTCTGTCCATGTGAATAAGGTCCATTTACAAATCAAACCGTACACATGTGACATGTGCGACAAACAGTTTTACACGGAAACCAATATGAATAATCATAAAAAGGTGCACAGTCTTCCGAGTAAAGAGATTTGCCAGTTCTGCAATAAAAAGCTTAGGACAAGGGCAGCTTTGGTGATACATGTAAGGAAACATATAGGAATTCGTCCTCACAATTGCCAAATTTGTAACCGAGACTTTTACTCGCAGGGAGGTTTAGAAAGACATATGAAAATCAACCACGGAGGTAGATATTGTTGTAAACTTTGCAAGAAAGTGTTTTCAACGAAAAGTAAGCTTAAATTACATGTCGATAGAGCTCATAGTATTATATAAAACAAAAAACTGAAAATATTCCGTGGTTAAAGTGCTTTTCCTATGACACGCGAATGGATATACGTTGTAAAGCATTCTGTACCCCTAGCGCGAACCATTATCGAATTCGAATAGTTGAATCCGATCTATTTTATACGTCAAACGTGTACTGATTTTTAGTTCTCGTTACGTCCGTTGTGGCGCTGCTGTTCAAGTGACAATACAAAATATGAAAATGAAATTTCGCACTCACAAACTATTCGAGATGTTGGTTCGTGCTAAGGGTGCTTGAGGCTTATTTCATGACGTTTGTGGAATAACGTTTTAGGTTCACTTTCAGCAATTTTGCTTAATCTCAATTTAACTAAAATAAGACTTAGCGCATACAATTATGTCAAATTGACATTGACGTTTTGTGATTTTTCTACGGGATATATCAAGTTTTAGTGGAATCGAAATTTAGTTAATTTGCTGCAGGTGGGCCTAATGGCGCAATTAATTACATGTGATCGCTAGTATTCGTGTGCACGAATGCCATCCCTCGAATTCGGGCACCCGAAGCAATATTTACACTAGGATACGTATTCGGGCTAACGACCTAGTGTAATCGCGACATTAGTCAAACCAAATCGCTATTGTCTTTACAAAATGTAGCCGATAGAAGTCAGTACTTTGCTTTTATTCGAAGTTAAATCTATGATAAAAAAATCTACTAGCTCTTAATTCTGGCTATTCAAAGTAATTTATTGGGTAAATTATATACGATGTATCAAATTTATATATCGTTTGTTTTCTTCCATTCTATAGAGTCTGTGCAGAAAGAGGATGGGATTTAGATTGGAGGGCGCTGTAGTGCTTTTCTACCGTATTTGTAAGGTTTTACCCCTTTTAGACATGATTAAATACAAAAAACCGCAAGAAATCACAACAACAAACAAATCCGTATTAATTCAAAACTGACGTTTTACAGATTGCTGGGTTTGATTGTCACATAAAAATCATAATGTTAGTTCCGTTTTTCGCCACGCCCATTCTCTTTCCGCACAGACTCTATTTGATTCTTATAAATCATCATAATGAATGCAAGTGGTCTAACTATGTCCAAAGTTCATGATTTTTTGGTGCAACACCAACAATCCTGGCTTCTGCTCCAATGATCCAGGGTTCATAATCAGGCATTGTGTGATAGCACGAAAATATTTGTTCTTCAGTTTTGCGTTTATCATAATTTTAATTTATACTCACACTTAATTATTTTCCATACTTTTTACTCTGATCAGTAGGCCTAATCGCTAACTGCTTTTGACAAATGAAAGTGATAATCAGTGACAAATAATCATCGTCAGTTGTAAAGAAAAAAATGGATGCGTGTAACTTATGTACGCGCGTGAGAAGTTATACTTCTTTAGCATCATTAAAAATATTTTTTAATTGCATGCAAATAATTAATAATTACAATAAAATAATAAAAGGACTGGAAAAGGATAGTTAACACAGTCAATTAAGTTCAGTTTTAATTTGAAAAATTAAATAAATATTCAAAATATTCAATTAAAATCACTACTGTATTGAAGTTATTAGTCCATATGTAATTAGCACTTGTAAGTAACTAAAACACGTTGTGTCTATAAAGAAACTAGAAACATGTGGATAAATATTATAAATATGAAAACAGTGATCAGAGGCGACGAGCGTGCCAACATTGTTTTTGACAACGCGATCATCTTATGGAGCTCCGTGGATCGTTCAAAGTACCTTTCGAACAGATGTCTAATAATGGTGGTCCACCATTATTAGATACTAACATTCATAACGCGCCCGCGGCCAACTTCATGGTGTTACTATTGTGTTACAGTGATGCGCGCGCATCTAAAAATTTCACTCTCATCATTTTTTCATAACGCGCCTAAAGAAGTATAACTTCAAAAAAAATGATTTAAGTATTTTTTTTATGGGAGAGCCCCTATCGGATTTTAATGGAACTAATGTCTTGTCTTGATTGACAGTTATGTTTAACCGTATATCACATTGTTGTGTCCATAGACGTCTTTTACTCAATATCTACGATCAACGATACTATAGATAACGGGTCAGCGCGTAACATCCGTCTCGATAAATATAGCCTCAGTTGAAGCGTGAGATCTTATTTTCAATTAGTTCGGTTAATACACAGGTAATGTATACACGGGTCACGATGACACAATGTGCATTCAAAAGTTGCAAAAATAACTACCAAATAAGCACTGTTTCTATCGGTGTATCTCACTTTCGGTAAGTACATGTAAAATATAGTACATTTTATGCTTTACACTAATAAGTAATGTCATATTTCTAATAAAATCACTATATTCAATCCAAAAATCAAATCCAATATTATGTCAAACTTTTTTCCAACAACCATTTCGCAGTGACTAAAACAATCGAAGTAAAAACGTACAGTAACCCGCTGGCCAATGGCTGGTTAAAATACTTTATTTTGTGGGTCATAAGGTTGATTTCACATTTTCCTCTTTTCATCTTTATCGTTTTTTTCCAAGTATCAGATATAAGTTTTTTGTTTAGTTCGTTTTATAAGATAGAAGGTCGTACGTACGAAATATCATTTCGTTATTTGTAACTTTATTCCTTTGTGACATGGTTGTAATTAGGTTCAACTTAAACTCATTGGGAATCGAATGTAGCTGCGTAAAGGTAGCCATACACACTACGAGAAATCGTTACGATCAGACTGTACAGTTCGAACGGAACAGTTTATCGTACGTGGCGTACGTATAGGAAACTGTGCAATTTTATAACATACACGCTACGATTTATCGGTACCGTTCGAACTGTACAGTCTAATTGTAACGATTTCTCGTAGTGTGTTTGGCCACTTGTAAGTTTATACATACGCGGACAGTTTTAAGCTTGGATTTTGTATGCAACCAATTATCTATAGAATTGTTGATCGAAGCTAAATACTTATTATAACTTGTTTAT